GAAAAGTCGGCCCAGGACCTCTGCTCTACAGCACAGCATCTCTACCCTCTTCCAGTGTTTTCCAGAAAACTCCAAGCTGGCGTCAGAGCCCCGAGCACATGGCTTTCCAGAACTTGCCCTCAGAATGACGCCAGAGGAGCCACCTAAGTCACCAAACATCTCTGGGTCTGAACTGCAAAATAAGAATCGTCGCGCCCTGCCCAGCCCAAAGGCCATCACAGACGGAAACAAGACTCTGCGTGTGAGAGCATTCAGCAATCCGGAAGGGTTCTAGGGACAGGAGAAGGACTGCTGCAGTATTTGATTCGGACAGAGGTGGTTGGTGCGAGGGGAATGAGCCATTGGGAAGGGGTGGAGTGGGGTTCCCTTGCTGTTTGCACGGCTCGTTAATAAAACAGACCAAACCTGCTCGAGACGGCCCTTGTCATCAGCCCTCACTCGCTCCCATGGCAGTCCTTGGGCCTGAAGAATGCTCCAGTCTGTCAAACGCTCACACGTGGGCCCAGTGCCTCTGCCCCAGAGGAGTGGCTGACAAGGCTGACCCGGGTTTGGCTTCCTCCCCAAGGGAATCTTAAGGGACTAGGAGGACTTTGCAGCCCGAGCTCACCCTGATTGTTCTGCTTACTGGCTTTGCACAAGTAGGCAGAGGTTCGTTGCTATTATTATTCCAGACCTAGTACATCAAACATTTCCAGGCAAGGCTAACATGAAGCCCAATTGGTTATTTCTATAGTGGAAACAAGTAGTTGATCATTTGTTCAACAAATGGCTCCCACGAAATGCGGAAGAGAAACAGCCCGCAGGGAGAAGGTGATGGGAGAGGCAGGGGGCGCTGGAGGGCACAAGGGAATCTGCTGCAGTCACCACTCTGCTGACCCAACCCCACTCTTCAAGATGTTTAAGAAAACGAAGGAGTGACCAGCAGGTGGCATGGTGGGTAAGGCACTGGACGCTCACATAGCTGATTGCAGTTTGAGTCCTGGACCCAGCAGCTTGAAAAATCATGACAGGGGGGTGTGTGTGTGTGCGCGCGCGCGCGCGCCCAAAATTCCAAAAGAAGAGGAGAAAGGATTGAGGCATGGCCATCCCCTGGGGAATGATTTTTCACTTCCTTCTCTCTGTCTGTCTTCCCTCTCTTTGTCTCTTCATCTCTCTGTCTCTCTCTCTCTCTGGCCAGCACATTCGCCCATGGCAAAAACATAAATAAATAAGTAAATAGAAACAAAGGGAGACCAGCAGGTGGCACAGTGGTTGAGGTGTTGGAACTCTCACATGGCTGATCGTGGTTCAAGTCCCAGACCTGGTGGCTTGAAGAACTCACCAGAAGCATATGTATGCATGCCCCAAATCCTGAGACTAGAGAAGGGATTTCAGTGTGGCCATCCTCCTGGGGGAATTCCTTCTGTCTCTCTCTGTCTCTTTCCAGTGAGTACACATGCCCTATGGCAAAAGGAAAGAAAACAGAAAAGAAAAAATGAAAAGAAAGCAAAAAGAAAAGGGGGGGGGGTGGAGAAAAAAGAGAGAAGGGATGAGAAAGCAAGCAAGCAAGAGTTCCCAGAGCACGGTTAGGTCATGGACGACTTTGCATGAGACAGGCCGGAGGCCGCAGCGCCTGTGAGCTCTGCTGTGCAGGGGCCATTCTGGTTGTGTGAAGGCGTATCTGGAGTGGCTGCCTGGAAACTTCAGGGTGGGTCGGCTGCTACAGTGAGGCCCCTCCCACCTGCAGGGGAACCTGCTGTCCTCAGCTGTCAGCACAAAAGCCAGTCTGGAGCCAACCCTTCTCTCCATGCCCTCGGCCCCCTGCTGGCACCATGGAGGCCTGACACTCAGCTGATCTTTGAGAAGTGGGAGACGAACAAAACCGCAGAATTGGATGTTTATTTCCACCATCTGCACGGTGATACAAGTTCATGTTATAATGGCATCCGCTCTCCTCGTATTAGGGACCGTTTACACAGGCATGGCGTTTCCTGATTATAAACACACGCAAGAGCGAGGCGGCGAGTGGCACGTGGCCTGCACCTGCTGCCTCTGCCTGCGTCAGTCAATTTCATGCCCAGGAAGCCCTGGGCTCCGTGGGGATGGCTCTATACGCAGTTTGGTTGGTCGTGAGTTGTACTTCATTTTTTGACTTTTTTTCCTAGGGAATAGCATTAATCAAGTTGGCCCCGAAATACACTTAGCGCAAATAGGCAGGAATAAATGGAAAATAGACAATGATCATAAATGCAAACCAAAAAATGCTGAATAGTCGAATGTTAAAAGGCCCGTTTGCTTTTAATGAGTAGATAAAAACTAATGGGCATTTTTACTGGCCTTCAAGAAGAGTTAGGAGTCACTGTTCAAAGGCTGCTGTCTGCCCCCTCCCCACCTCATGCCACCTGCAGGGACGTTTGAGTCACCAGGCGACGGATGGCGAATGGCACCCTGGCTGGGCCTGGTTAGAGTGGGCAGGGAAGGGAGGGGACAAAGGGAACAAAGGGAAATCAGGCATTTTACAGAGAAACAAAAGGGAGACTCTCCCGAAGCTGTGAACATGTGTCTGCGTCAACTTCCTTCCAAGCATTGCTCCCCCTCCTGCAGCCCTGCCCCCTGCCCATCACAGGCCCATGGGTGGCTCCAACCTCCGAACCCTGTCCCAGCTCTGTGCCCTATGCGACTCTGGGCAGGTGTGCATTTTCTCAACTGGGAAGGCTCGCAAGGGGGCTGGATCCATGGCTCCTGGGGGCCCTTGGGTGTGACACGTCCCGGTGAACTTCTCCACGGAGAACTTGGGTTCGGGTTTGGGTTTGGGTTTGGGTTGGGTTCCTTCAGACATCTTTCTAACTGAAGCTGCCTTCTGCCATCAGGGAGGAATTCATTTTTACCCGTGACCACGTGTTCTGGAAGGGGGACTGTGGAATAGCTCTGAGCTCATCAGTTCAGAGTTGCCAGCTCTTCCGGCAGCTCCTGGTCTCTAATGTGGTCCATGGGACACAGCGGCAGGCACTCCACTGGGAGCACCTGGCTGCGCTCCACGGGCCTGTCCCAGTGGTACCTCTGCCTCCCTCCTCTCCAGAGAACTGCAGAGCTGGAGCTGCACCTTCCACTGCTCATTAAGCCTGCTGGCTAGAGCCCAACACAGCTCAAGGTGCCAGCAGTCCCCCGTAAAATAAAGGCTGCCTCGAGACGGCAGGTAGGGTGGTGGTGACAGTCGCTGGACTCCCACATGGCTGACCACAGTTTGAGCCCCAGACCTGGCGGCTTGCTTTCTCACTTTCTCTCTCTCTGTATGTCTCACTCTCACTCTCTCACTCTGTCCTTCTGGTCAAAAATTTTTTAAAAAGTAAGTAAATAAATAAATTTAATTAATTCATAAAAAACAAAAACAAGAATAAGGCTGCCTCTACTTCTTTTTCTTTCTTTTTTTTTCCCAGAGATTTTTGCTATGGGGCACATGTGCTTGACAGACGGAAAGTGAGAAATCACACCCCGCCCTCCAGAGGGGATGGTCCCTCTGCAATCCCTTCTCCTCCATCCTCCTCTTGGGGTTTTGGGCATGCATGCACACATGACTGGTGTGAGTTTCAAGCCGCTGGGTCTGGGATATGGGAGTCCAGTGATGTAACCATTTTGCCATCTGCTGGTCCCACCTCTAAGTCTTAGGGGGTGCATGAGCTCACCAGAGAGAGAGACAGAGACAGAGAGGGAGAAACACCCTTACTGAGGATGCTCATGCCCCAGTCCCTGCCCCGTTTCTCCATCGTGTTGGGATTTGGGGTGCACACACATGTCCAGCGTGTTTGTCAAGCAACCGGCACCAGGATTCGAACACCAGGGCTGGCCATGTGGGATGTGGCTACCTTAGCCACAGGACCAGAGAGCAGCCCAAGGCTACCTCTAAACAAATAGCTAGAACATGGAGCTCTCCGTGTCCCCCTCCCCTCAGAAGCCTAATCTTATCTGAGATTGGAATTCAAAGACCTGGCAACCTGGGCCATCACTCGCATTCCCAGTCTAGCTGGCAACGCCTGCCGGGCCGGGCCGTCTCCTTCCAGGTCCTACTGCGGATCCTCGGTTGCTATGCAGCTTCTCTTTACTCCCGGAGCTGGCTTACTTCACAGCGGGGTCTCCCAACCTCAGCACCCCCGGTGTGTGCGGCGGGATCCGCCCTCGCTGTGGCTGTGGCGCGCTGTCTGGGCAGTAGACACTCCCC